TATTAATTAACCTAAATTGAATTTATGACATAAAAATTCCTTAAATTATTGCACCTAGAAAGAAATGGACATAGTATTGTTTTACTCCAATTTAATTCATAGTCTCTATTCTAGGGGAAAAAAAATCAGCTTTTTACAAGAAAAAAAAACTTGCGTGGACACCTGAGGTTTATTCGCACGTAACTGGCGATCTAGTGTTATTTTGAACATAGTGACCTTTTCGTCAAAAAATAAATAATATTAAAAAAAACACATAGTGAACCTTATGTTGAACATAGTGACCCTAATTTTAACATAATGACCTTCATCATTCATATTGACCATCATATAAAAAATTTCATTTAAAAAAAATAAAAAAAAACCTCTTATAGCCTTTATAATACCAAAATGACTTTTATTTCAACATAACAACCTTTATTTAATGTTGTGACCTTTTTTTTTTATTAATAAAACAACCATTGTGTCTCTAATGTTAGTGGTCCATAATAAATTAGTGTGAATCAGGTTCATTTAAAAATTTGTATCTTACAAGTATATCCACTTATCCATTATTGTTCTTGATACAGTAATATATTTACAAACAATGATATAGTAATTGGGAAGAAATTTATAGAACGGGAAGAGTATTATGTAATGAATCGACTTTAACTTTAATTTATATGGTGAAAAATAATTAATCTCATCATTAATTCGGGATAGCTAGCTAATATATTCCAAAGCCTTCATCATACAACATATTTCTTTGACACAATCATCATACAACATAACAGTAGTATAGTAAACTAAAAAATACGTACGTAATAAGAATTTAACCATAACATTGTGTCACACACAAGCTCGAGATACATATATATTTCATTTTCGAGGTATAAAAAACACTCAAATTACATCATAATCCTTAAAAATAATCATATATTCACAATTTAACCATAATCGAATTAATTAATGTCAACTATCAATTAAGGACTAGGGTCCGGCAAAGAGGGCAAGAATTAGTAATAGATATCCAAGGAGCAATACAAGTAGCATGGAACACGTGTCCACAAGGCATTCGTTTAGCGGACCGTCGTTGAAAATCTTCCATGCACACCGAGCACGTAGCGTCTCTCTCGGCAGTAGCCGTCGGCAAATCAGCCACCCGTGTCACAGGGGAAGAATGATTCGGTGCAACGACGATGTCGTGATGACTAGGGGAGATGCTCAATGGTGTAGGTTGTATAGTTAGAGCTTCATCGAGGTCAAAAATTAGGTGAAGTGAGGAGCATATATTAAGGGTATTACTAGTCATTTTTATTGATGAGGGTTTAATGATACAAGCTAAGGAAATAGCTAATTAGCTAAGGAATATACATATATATATATATATAGATTCATATATAAAGGGAAGATCCACGTTACAGTGTGCCTAGGATTTATTAATAATACTTCTAATTTGAGAATTCATAAATGACATATATTTTGAAAAATATGAAATGGTCAAATTACTCAAATTACTCAAAAATATGAAACCCTAGCGGCTAGGGTTTTGAGGGTGGTAGGATGGTCGGCCGACGATTTTAAGTGGAGGGAGAGTGGTTTCTAGGGTTTTGCGTGGGTGGTGGAAGGTTTTCGGGGAGAGGAGATATTTTGAGGGGAGAGTTGGGGGAGGTGCAACAATTCCGGCGAGAAGTTGGGGAGGTGCGGCGAGTCCGGCGAGGTGGTTGGGCGAGTTCCGACGAGTAGGATGGTGGTGGGTATGGTGGCTAAAGAAAGGTAATGGAAAAGTCTAGGGGGTGGGGAATCAAAGTAGAATAATTTGGGTAAACTCAAAAATAAAAATGGGTAAAGGGAATGAAAAAAGTGACAAACAAACAACAACAAAGGGAATGATATCAGTTCATTCTCATTCCCTTTGATTAGTAACCCCAACCAAACGGCCCCTTAATTTATTACTCGCACTAAGATTTATAAAAGATGCGTAGAAAGCAACATGTAATATTTGTGCACGTGTAATGCGTTCTAATTTTTTCTATTCTTAATTATGAGTGTAGAATACAAGCAAACAAGAGATTTTCACAACTAAACCAATTAATATGTTACATGTCTCATACGTAGCTATCATTGAATATTTATTACTCCCTCCGTCCCTAAATTAGAATCCTATTTCTCTTTATTATGAGTAATAAAGATTAAAAATAGGCTTTTAATAAAGGGATGGAGGGAGTATACAATTTAGCTAGTATTCCCTCTATTTTTAAATACTTGCTCCATTTCTCCATGCGCGGAGTTTTAGGAGAAATTGAAGAAAGTAATAAAATATGGAGGTGGTGGGGTTGGTGAAAGAATAAAAAATTGTAAAAAGCAAAAGTAGTTGAGAGAATTGGAGGAGAGAGAATATGAAATTAATAAAATATGATTTATGTTGGGTCTACTAGTTTAGAGAAATGAATTAAATATTGTAAAAACTTTCTAAACTAGGAAATGGAACAAGTATTTAAAAACAGCCAAAAATGAAAAGTGGAGCAAGTATTTAAAAACAAAGGGAGTACAAGGTATTAAAAATTGACCTTTTCTACTTTATGTTCATAAGTAATCTGAGTTCAAATTTTCAAATTTCTAGACAGATACTTGTATTCAATTACTAGATTGTATGAATTAATTAAGGGCGTGAAATCATTTCAATTAGTCCCTATATACGTGTTTATATTATTTTTCCTATTTAGAATCTTTTTGTAAAATAAAATTAGTTAAAATAGAAAGAATGTCAAAAATAAGAAACATGCACACAAGACTATGCTTTGATTAAGTTAATATACTTATATATATATATATCCGATATACAAAATTTAGGACTTAGAATATAAGTAAATATATTCTCGATAAAATTAAAAGATAGGATGGTCCCAATATAGGTGGAGGTTGGCCGCCGGTGCCAGTGGGTACGGCCGCATTGGCCCGCAGGCCATATGGGGCCAGCCGGTCATGCCAACTACTTCAACCTCAAAATTACTTCCATTGAGAACATAGTATGTAACTAAATTGCTAAAAATGAAATGTCATTTCACAATCATGCATCAATTTGATCCATTTTATGTCAATTCCATCTCGCTCATATATTTATGAAACACCGCATGTTATGAGCACTAAATCATGCATGTATGAGTTCACAATATATTACTCGGAATATTTTACATGTAGGTTGCTTTCTAATAATTTGACACCCCACCTTATTATGTTTATATTGATGAAAAAGAGGAAGATTAGATTAAAAGGATTCTAATTTTTTAAACAAGAATGATTAATGAGAAAACAAAACTAAAAAATAACTATCCAGTGCTTATTGAGAATCAGAAGTTCACACAATCAAGTGTGTTTAGTTTCACTTCTTCGCGGCTATGACCAAGTAGCTAAATCTTGCATTTGTGTGTTTTACGACGTCATTTTTATTTTAATTTTTAAATTAGTAATTCTCAATTTCATTTTTTTTTTCCAAAATTGCAGGTAAAATATACACTTCATTTTAATTATTGTAAGAGGTACGGAGTATAAAGGTTAAGGAATTTCAAGCCCAAACACAAATTCAAACACTCCCTATCCTAATTTAAGAGCGTTACTAAGTAAGCCAACTCTTACGCAATTACGCCTGAGTACTTGATAAGTTTATCCTAATTTGAAATTTAACAATTTAGATGTAGTTATATTTTTACAAGTTAATCCACCTCACCTATATTACTCATAACAAGTTAAATTAAATGATTAACTAACTTTGGGGGCCAACTAACACCGCAAAAATTCAACAAATTCACCTACTATTTTTAGAAGTTAATCCATCTCGACTATTTTAACAACTAAATACTCCAACTCCATTAATAATCTTTTTATGGCCACGACTCCACGTACAACACATGTTAAGTGAACAAGATCCTTTTAAATAATTGAACATCGGAGGAAATTGGATAGAGATTTTAGACATAAAAAATTGTCTAACAATTTTCCTCTTTTCTCAATTTAGTCATTGAATAATTCTAGATGATCCTCTAGAGTCAAGAGGTTTACTTGAATTGTGTAATACGAAGTTGTCGAAATACAGAGACTAAAAAAAATTGATTTTCAAGTCATTTACTATTCAGCTTAATTTCACTCATTTCAATTAAAAATAATAATAAGTATATTGTTAAGAAATGTTAAGGAAAAAATTATTTTTTCCGTTTTTGTAGTTGCATCACTTTTACAATTGCGGACTCCTAGGTAATTTTTGGAATAGAGAGAGATAAAGAGAAAAAATCAAGAGGACCCATGTGATAGGACTATAGGAGAGATATATTAACTAAAAGATAAAGTGATGCAACTAAATTGAAACTTCTATATACCGAAAATGATGCAACTAAAAAGAAAAGGAGGAACTATTCATATTAGTATATATAAGGATTAATAAGAGATATTCAAGTTTAATTTATAACTATATAAGTAAATTCTAGTAAGCCTAGTTAAGTTCAAGTGAATGAAGATCAAACAAATAAAGTGAACCCATGTGTATTTTCACCTCTAATTTCTAAACCTATTAAAAAAAATTATAATATATATATATATATATATTATAATTTAAAAAAAAATTATAATAATAATTTAAAAAAAAAAAAAAAAATTGGTTCAAAATCTTTGGGCAACGCCGGCCCCATGATCACCTTTGTGGCATGCTGTGTACGAACTTACAAAGTACGCGTACAAATAAAAAGATAGCTGTTTTTTTTTTTTTTGTTTTTTTTTTTTTTTTTTTTTATAAGAAAAAGATTGCTAGTTAGTGTCAATAAAGTAGTTAACAAAATCAAATTCCAATTGCTTTTACTACTGTAATTTTAGGGGAAAAAAAAAAAAGAAAAGAAAGTTAAAATGTCTGTCAAAAAAAGAATTATTAAATGTAAAGGTACGAAATGTCAAACTTGTGTATCGATTATAAATTTATAAGTACCGAAATATAAAAGTAAGATTTACAATTTTAAAAATATGCGAAGTACTAAATAATTCAGGTAGTGACAAGTGAGAATAAAACTACCACGAGAAACAGTTTTTTGATGTTCGAATCTATTCAACAAACAAAATTACTCGAATTCGCAGAAAGCCCATTTACTATGGATTTTGGGCTTTCAAGTTTCACTATCTCGAATTTTGACATCAAAATGGAGTTTATATGATATACAACAGTCATGCATATATATAGCTTTTCCATATCACTGAAAAAACATTTCATGTCTATCTAGTTCCAGACATTCGAATAAGAAGCCTAATCCCTTGTAGTGTGGTTGACTGGTTGCCCATATGTTTGAAGTGTAAACATCGTAATCAACAGATATGTCTAAAGAGTTTTCCAGGGAACCAAATAAGGCCAGTGCATCACCAGATCTTCTTTTTGACCCAGAAGAGTAGCACCACAACTCCGATTACAATTGCTACAGGCGCCCATTTCCGGATCAGAGCCTACAGATTCACAATGAGATCAATATTCAATGTTTGAACATACTACATCCGTTCGACAAGTAACTACAACATTTTTTATAAAGGGATAACAGTTTTCTCTAACAGGCAGTTAACAAGAAAAAGATGTGATCCGCATTTAGTCATTAGGTTCAAGATCTGCAGCAGTACTTTAAAAGTTACTGATTAGATGACCTTTAGTGCTGTAAAAACTAACCTGTCGATTTAGGTCTTTTGCCTTATCAGCATAAATCCGTGATTCAGATGTTAAGCGACTTGACATTTCGCTGACCTCTGCAGAAGTGAATTAAAAATGATTTACACAACACAGAGCTAGACATTAGGAGTAGATATACACAGCTTATCTCAGCCAATAGCTAAGGAATTCTTTATCAAGCAACCCCAGAAAAAAGAACAAAGATACCATAGTGATACCAATTAAAGTGCTAACTAACAGTAGGAGATGAACAAAAAAGCTGATTCGCCTCAAAAGAGAAGGAAAAATAATGGTTACACTAAATAACAGCAAAAGATACATTTAAAACAATTTACATAGACAGCATAGCAACAACTAAGCAAGGTAAAGGAGTGACAAACAGGAATGCACACATGCAAGCAATGAAGCAGAACAAGAGCAAAAATTAAGCTAGCTAGCTAGCAAGCAAGCAAACAAAGAAGCAGAAAAGTATCAATGGCCTACCAAATATGGAAAAATGTTATGAACAAACTCACCAAGAATTCTTGTAATCCCCCGTATTTTTAAATATTTTATAAATGAAATTTTATTTTATTTATAATATTTAATTGTATTTTTCCATAATTTAATTATCAAATTATTAATTTGGGTCAAAAATTATTTTAGGCTAAATTATTTTATGTACCTATATCCTACAATCCATTACTATAAAAACAAAGCCTAACCCATTTGTTTATTTAATTGACTCATTATTTTCATGAGGCCCAATTCTACCCTACAATTCTCTCCTATAAATACCCCATGAATCCCCAAATTTTCCCCTACACAAAAAGGTTAGCCTTATTTTCTTCCTCCCTCTTGTTTTCTCTTCTTTTGTTAATTCAACCCAAGTTTAAATCTTTATCAATTTTTGTTATTTAATTGTTATTATCATGGTTTGATTATGTATATGAATTATAAAAGATTATAAATTTATAAGTTTTATTATGTTTAAATTATGCATCAAAATTTCAGATTTATTTAGTTAAGAAATTAGGGTTTAAAACTTGATTTTCATGGTTTTAGGGCTTAAAAACGTGTTGCTAAAGTTATTCAATTTAAGCATGATTATATTGTGATTCTACTATGATTATGATGATGTTTAATTCAAAAGCAAGTTTTCAATTTTTTGTAGTTAATTTATGATTTCCGTTCTTAATTTCTCTTAATCACGTTTTAATCACGTTTTGACTCTGACTCGTATGATTTTTGCAAAAAAATAGTGTTTTTCGTGTGTAAATGACGTTTTAATCAAAACTCACTACCTTTGATAGTGAGCACCACCCTCTCGTGGCCAAATTCAGCCTCTAAATATGGTTTTCGGTCAATTTTTGATTTTTAACGAAGGTTTAATGTTTAAAATAAATTTTCAGATTCTTATAAAGCTTTAAACTTGCTATAATTTTATGAATAAGTATGTATTTTAATGTTTTTATGTAGCAAATTTTAAGAATAATATATAAGCTTTTAATTCTAGCAAAAAGGAAGGTTTTAAAGTGTTGTTTAATTAAATTTTGAAGGTTTGATTGAGTTTTTATGAAACTAGTTGAATTCTAATTATATATTTCAAGTTTAGATTGTTGTATTCATACATTCTATTATTAAATTAAATTTTCAGATTTTTAATCTTGGTTTTAAAGGTTTTAAATCATGGTTTATGATGGATTTTTAGGTTTTAAACATACTAACCTACTACATGATGATTATTTCAAGAAGAGATGTTTATGAGGTTGTTTTATAATTTTAAACTAAATTTCCAGATTATAATCCTTACTTTAAAGTTGCTGGAATTTTATGTTATAAGCTATATTTTCATGATTTTAACATATAAACTTATACTTGAACTATTAAATTATCAACTTTGACTATTGTGAGTAATTTAAAAGCATTATTTCAATGGTTTTAGGGGTTTTAAAGTAAGTTAATATTGCTGTAAATTATATTGCTTAGGTATTGATTGAATTATTATTATTTGGTTTAGGAGAGGGCTTCGTAGAAGGCGATTTTTAGTTCCGTAAGTGGCCAACCAACTTGTGTACTCAAGGTACGTACAAGGATACGAAAACCTTGACTTTAGAAGCATGTTTAAGGATTTGGAAAACCTTAGAATCATGTTAGGAAACTTGTAGATTGGTTGGAATTGTATGGTAGTAAGTTTGATTGGTGATTAATGTGGTGATTGGCTTTGTTTCATGTATGAAAATTTCGTATTAATTTATCTAGTAAGTATTATTTATGCATTAACATGCAAGATGAGCTTAGAGGCAAAGATACGTGAATATGTGGAATGAATTATTGTATTACTCGTTCATGATTAATGAAATGGAATGAGTAAAGGGAGATTTAAAGTCTTATAAGACGAGGTTGAAGATTGAAGTGTCTTATGCACTTAAGGTGTTTATACACCGAGGTAGTTAAAGCATTCAATACTAAATATTGTTTGTCACTAATAAATCAAGAATTGAATTGGAAATTTGAATTGTTTGAATGATAGATGTATGATTGGTTGTATTGTTTTGTATTTGAGTTATCACCGGTAAATCACGTAAAGTGCAAGATGGATGAGCAATAAAACTCTGGATTTGTGCGAGTATTGACAGACAGGGGTTCGGGTACACGGGGTATTAGCCGTGTACTTTTCAGAGGTCGTCTGATCTACGAGTCTCTTGTTTTCAAATACTTTTAAAATTATAATGAGTTAGATGAGATCTCATACTAGCTATGGCCACAGAGTCGCGCCCGTCTGCCATTGGATGTTTATTAATGTTTCCGAAAGGAGGCATAGGGTTTTCTTTTATTAATGTTCCGAAATGGAGCATAGGGGGACAACCTGGTCTATTGCTTAATCCAATCAATGAATAAAATGAATTATTTATTATTGATTAGTGAAGTCTTAGTAATGTTAACAATTAAGTCATGTGTTCGAGTCAATGATTATATTGTGTGTGCAGATTGATTTTTAATAACATGCTAGGGCTCTTTGCTATATTTCGTAGCTTGTATGTACTCAGCGTTGCTGATTGCGTGCTTTGGTGTGTCTTTTCTTGGTCATGGCCTTCGCCTATCAATGACCCTATAATGATCCAATTTTTACACTTGTAATATTGGGGAGCAGATTAATCACAGGTCTTACCTAATCAGAACTTGCATCAAGGTGATGGGATTTTGAGTGGAGTGTTGGTTAATCTCACAGTTTATTACATTTCATAAGTTTGGATTTAATAAAACTTTGGTTTGATTTATTTACTACTTTTATTGGGTTTTGAATAAGGGCCTTAATGGTTCCAACTTGTAAGACTAAATTTGGTTTTGATTTTTGGTTTTGAAACTTATTGATAACTGAGTTAGTTTTTCCGCTGCTAAATTCTGAACTAGCCTTAACTTTTAAACACGTGGCGATAGCACGTCATTGTTAAACGTATTTACAGGTTTTTAAAGAGAGAATTATTGGGGTGTTACAATTCTTTTCTATTATTAAATATGGAAAGCACACAAATAGATGCATTTTCAGCTGCCTTTCTACTTGATAGAGTTATCACCATCCTAATTTGCAAACAATTCCCACAGGTGTCATCTATGGCCTTACGGAGAAAATCTTAGCTTCAAAAAAGATGTCTATCAATTGAAAATCAATTCAGTTCACCATACAGAGAGGCAGGCAAAAAAGAAAACCCCCCTGAAATGTTCAGCCATGGTCCCCGTCCAAAAAGAGCAAAAATGTTTACTATTTATTTCCACATATTCCCAGTTATGGAGTATTAAATATCGAATCCCTTCCCCAGCCTTAAATTTTCCAAATTAATTTCAAATAAGGCAAAAATGGACAGTTAGAACTTGAGTTGGCTTGAATAACCAGGCATACAGAGCTAAAAAGTTTATTTACATGCATTCTAGATTTTAATTTAAGAATTAAATCCAACAGTTTACACTACATAAACATCTCTATGGAAACCTAACTCCCTCATAGGCCTACAGCCAGCAATTAATTCATTTCACATCCTTTGGCATGCAAAACTTGCATTATTTCATATCCAATTCACAGAAAATGCATCTTCTAAATGTCCTTTTTAAGCTAACATTCGGTTGCCATGTCCATTATTTTATATCCAATTCACAGAAAATGTCATCTTCTAAATGTCCTTTTTAAGCTAAAATTCGGTTGCCATGTCCCACCTGTATAACCATTTAAAGACAAATCTTTTTTTCACAATATAACCAGAATCTGAGCTAAAGAATCAAAAAGTAATGTCATAAAACGTGTTCATGGTCCAGTGCCAAGAAAAATAACATCATTTTTACATCCCACATCATTTATTCTTCATTGCAAGGCACAGCTATTTTGAAGACTCCTTGATTATAAGCTTTATACCTTGGTACCATGTAGACAAGCACTTGCTATTCTCCCCCCCCCCCTCTCTCTCTCTCTCTCTCTCTCTCTCTCTCAAGAGATGAATGGGAGATTTAGCATTGGCCCAAAATATAATAAAAATAGAATAATAAAAAATAAAAAATAAAAAATTAAATAAAAAAAAAGAGAGAAAAAGCAGAGAAAAGTGAAAGATACATAGAGACAACTAAGCGTAGAATGATGTACTTGGTCTTCAAAACAAAGTTGGAAAAGAGGCAAGTGAGGGCTGAGGCAACTAGTCTACAAGCTAAAGTTGGAAAAAAGTAAACTTCCACGGAAATAATCAGACTTCAGGCATAATTCATCCATGAGAAAAACTAAGAGGAGAGGCACTGCCTGTCTTTAATCCAAATTGTTCCTAGAGCAGCTCACCAAGAGAGAGTTCGAAGTAAAATTGCTACAGACAGAAGGTCTTGCCTACGGTTTTAAGTAAATTATGTCAAAGAATTTAAACATCAACCCAAAAAAAAATAATAAAACCAGTAATCTGCATACATATTCTAGGACAACTATGCTAGACACTGCTACAAGCCTACAATACCTTCAGCTTATAGGTCAACACCATGCAACACTATTCTATTGACTCTTATGCACCCCATCCCAAACACCAAAAGAACTTGCTGATTTTGCAGATAGTTTATGTGCAAAGAAGAATGATGGTCTAGCATTCCCTTCCTCTCCACAGCTATGAGCTTATCTTATTATCTTATTAAGAAAACAGCCTAACAAGATATTAGCCTTACTTCAAGCAATGCTGTCCACTATTCTATGTTTTATTATTCATTGCAAAATCTCATGCACTCTCCAGCTTCATTGCTCAAATACAAGAACTAATATACACAATTCACCATGTCACTCGAAAGTCCAATCATGGGTAAGGCATCCTAGGATACTTCCAGTCAAATCTAGGAAACATCTTTCGTAAAAAGCCTAACTTATTGCATCGGTATAATTTATTGGAAGCATAGCAAACAAAGTTTCAATATCTGTTAAGCAGAAAAAGGTTCAGGAAAAGAAATTATGTGTTGGGCATGTGTGACTTACGGTCCAATTTTTCTCCAACACCAAGGACTTCTTGCACATTTCGGGTCATGATTTGGTGCACTTCATAGAGTTCGTCATTCAGTTTGGAAATGTTCCTCTGGGTACGGGTATCCTGGTACAACTTCTTTGTTCTCTGTATAAATGTATCTTTAGAAGGAAACAATAAATATTATGAAAAAATATAATTAGTGGCACAGTTTCTTGAAGTCATGAACCAAAAGCAAATGCAAACAGGACATTATCTGATTAACATACCAAACTTAATGAACGCATAAGGTCTAGCAGCAGTTTCTATCTGATTCCCATTAACACGCTCAAATTCATTCTTGAGATCTTCCAGGTACTGAAATGCAAGCTTCTTTGGGTAAGCCCGATCACACATTGTCAAATAACAAACAGGGCCCTCAATGATATAGCTGTTACCCAATGTTAAGGTCATACTGAAATCAAAATATACTAGCACTAGTTTGTCATGGCAGTATCAGACTATCAGCTAAAGAGGGAGAGCACATTGGCAGGATAAACCATCATAATAATGTGCAGAGATATATAGTTGCATTTCAACACTTCAAAGGAGAAAAGAAAGCCAAACATTAAACAGTCAATATATACACAACATTTGCTAACAATCAGGAAAGGAAATTCAACTAACATGGATAATATGGGGATAAGCTGCAGATAGCAGGCCTAATGCCACAGAAAAGGTACCGGTAGGGAGAAGTCTCAGACCAAGCTACACAAGCGCACTTGAATATGATCAACGAGTGATTTTTTCTTTTAAAACAAAAAGACAACTCCATATTTTATTAATTGGAGAAAGAAGCATAAGCATAGAAGCATAGGCAGAACACTCTATAATTTTCAAGAAGATGTCAAATGGGTCCATAACTCCATAATCAGTAAATCACCAGGGATCAGCAAATTCAGCACTGAAGACTCACTTTGGTTTTGCTTGGTAAAAGGGAACTGAAGGGAACAAGTCCCTTGTTTGGATAACAGGTTGGGGCTTGGGGGAGAGATTCATTGTCCCTTGCACTTAAATAAACATCATCCCTCCAAAAATAGAGAGATTTAGAGAAAAAATGGAGCTCCACATTCCCCTTCCCTTTTTCCCCTCCCCTTCCTTCTCTTTCCCTCTGTTTCATTTTCCCTTTTATCTAGCTATTATATTTAAACAAGTATGAGTAACTGAGCACACATGAGACAATATTCTCTACCTACATAGTAATTTTTGATAAGAAACTAACTAAAGCAAGATTAACACATCAAACGACATACCAATACAAACAGCCTACATCTGATGCAATCTCATTCCTATTTATCAATAAAAAGCATTTTAACAATTAAGAAATATGGAGTAACTCGTTTTCACACAAAAACAAAAGGCAAGACCAGATGAACAGAATCCAGACCTCAGCCCATAACGCCGTAGGTCCAACTCAACAACAACAATAGCACAATGTAGTTCCCACAGGGTAGGTTTTAGAGAGATCAATGTATGCAACCTCACTAAAAGGGATTCTCTATCCCAAATTCACATCTCATCTAGTAACACAGTCGCACATATTTCTCATCTTGCCATATCACCAATCTACATTGATTATTGATTCGGATGATCAGATGACAAAACCAAAAGGACACCTTATAAGGGGAATACCATACAAATCCACAGCCTTATCCCAGACCAACTTAGACTAATAGAACAACTGCCATCAATCAACCCATAAGTACTAATCATCATCAAAACACCATCAATAAGACTCATTCTTCCTATAATTCATGATTAGCAAAATACAACAATCAATACCCGAAGCAAACATAAGAGAAAGATATGGGCATCCCAAGCTCTCATCTCCCTCCCACCGCCACCTCGCTCCAATTTTCAAACAATTTACAAGCACCTGATCAACACAAGTAACAGCTACTCCATACACTATAACCATAACTGCATAAAGTGCAATTCAAATCCAAATGCTCCTCTTCCTAAAATTCATATACCACACCATTACACAAGGCGAAAAAGAGAGATTACGGAATCCCAAACTCTTGTACCCCCGACCGCCACCTCTCTCTCCCATTCCTAACAATTAACAACCAACAGAACAATACAATTAACATCTACACGACTACAATGCACTCAACTTCACACATTGCATGTAATCAATCAAAAATTGCAGGAAAAAAAAAACGAAGGATACTGAAATATGTAAGGTCCACTCTCAACAGACATTCTAGAAGGATCATTTTGACCTTTCGAAAGATTTTTGAACAAAGCTTTGATTTGCTGCTTGTAATATTCAGCATCTTGCACATCACGCCCATCATCTAATCCTTCTGCTAATGGTAGACCATCCATTACTCGAGCAATCATCGTTAACTTCACCATTTTTTTCTACTTTTATCAACTGCAAATCAAATCAAATCGCAACAAAAATCAAATCAAATGAATAAGATTTCGAAATTTAACAAATTAGGGCTTCAAATTTGGGGAATTTCACCAAAATGATGAACATTTAAATGCAAATTCGAAATGAATTCCAGAATTGTTACCTGAATCAAAATTCAAATCGATGATCTTCAGATCTCTGAGCTTAGAATTCGTGAAGATCTCGGAGAATTGGAAAAACGTGGTTGATTTTTCCGAAGGAAATGAACATAAATATTTTGTAGGGTTTTAAGTTTTTTTTTAAATGAGAAAATAAATTAAAAAGAAAAAGGGAAAAAACAAAACAAAAAAAAAACAACAAGATTGTTTAAAAAAAAAAAAACAATTTAATCTAATATCGTATCATATATATCACTAATAAATAAAGCTGGTCTCACAGTTAGGTCACGAGACAGCAACACTTGGCATTTCATAAAATAATTTATAATTCTTTACAAAAAAATTTATTCAATTTTCCATTGTCAATGTTTCTAATCAGATATTTTAAAACGCATTCATCTTCTTATTTTTTATTTATAGCAACACACCACATATTATAATTAATATGAATATCCAATTAACAATAGAATTTTACTCCTATACGAATAACAACGTAATTTTTTATTATAAATATGGTCATGTATCATTGAATTTTTTTTAGTCTACTGTTGATTTACCATCAAAGCTTTTTAATAAGATATTCTTCAAATTCAGTTGTAATATTTGTGTATGTTTGTGATTTTGTTAATGAAATCAAAGAATTCAAAAATTACTAAAATTAGGACACAAGAAAAACGGTATAATACAAGAGAATCTTGAAGTGAATTCAAATCAATATTAGCAAGGTCTTAGAACTTTACGGGTTTTACAAAGCCTCCATAGCCCATTTACCATCCATATATTATTACAAATGGTCCAATTAGGCCAATAATAAAAATATACTTCCTCCATTTCTTTTTAGTTGACACGTTTCTTTAATCACGTTTGTCAATGCACATATTCAACCGTTAATATCTTTAATAATTGAAAAGCAAAAGTTATAAAAAGTTGATATTTTGAAAACATATATCGTGACGAATCTAACAAGACCCCACATGACTATATTTTTTATTACGTATAAATCACAAAATACGGTCAAGGGAAAGTGTGTGAATAATGCTAAAGTGAAAACGTGCCAACTAAAAAAAACGAAGGTAGTATAATTTGTTAATTTTACGTGTTAAGAAAAATTACTTTTAACTCTTTATTAATATTTATTTTTAGCGTCCCTTTGAAATTTAACACACACACACACATATATATATATATATATTATAATTCACAACCATTGGTCGTTACAAAAATAGAAAATGATAACAAACGTGAAAAAAGAATAATAGATAGTATTTCTACTCTCTTTTTATATCTAACATTTTAAAAAAATATAAATACTAATAATAATAATACAAAATATGCCCACAAATAAGTACACTCTTTAAAATGGGTATAAAGGGGAGTTTTAACGCACCATGTAGGATAATAAATTATAGTGATAGCCAATTAAATAAGAGATTTGTAAATTCTTTTAGAATTAAATCATTCATATGCCACATAAGCAAAATTGGCGAATGAGATTTTTTAAAGTTTGTGAAATATAATATATTATTTTTTGAAATTAGGAATTTTATTTAAATGTTTAACCGGAAATTCACAATTTATTATAAAATAAAATATTAAATGATATACTACATACAACAAGTAAAATAATAAATTTTATCACACAAATACTAAAAATATATTTATTTTAAAAAATACAAATATACTGCGCATCGCACAGATTTTATCTAATTTTAATTAATGCAGAAAAAGTAGTAAAAAGAAAAAGAGCGGGTGAAAGAGGAAAAATACAATAATTTAATTTTGAGGATTACTTTTTTTGCTTGGACCCTTTGGGTCTTTGGGCCTTTGGGCTTATGTTATGGCTAATTCATTTATTTATAACATGTATAATGATATAATGGGCCAAGTACAAAGGCTTTTTGACCCATTAATTTACGTGGATGAACACAAGTTTTATCGCATAATAAATGAATTGGGTAAGTGTTGAAGGTCGAGTTAGTGTTGATGTTATCAATTGAAAGTAACATGACTTTACCTACTTAACTTTAGCATGTAGATTATTTAGCTTTTAGCACAGTTTAAAGATATGTATTAGCATCTATAATTTGCTTTAATTCTTCATAACTTTAATGTTCTAGCAAGTTAAGGATTGGTCAAGCATGAATTGACACGATAATATAATGAATCTAGCATAAGAAATAATCTCTAATTTTAATGGATAAGTATCTTGAAAATATAACTTAAACATCTTTAACTAGTCAATCTGCCTAGTGAATTTATTAATATTTGTTAGTATTAGAGATTTTGATACCATTTATCACGTAGGTCAAGTTAATGTCAAGGAATAACACATTTACTAACTCTCTAATCACAAATGAAGAGTAGTGTACAAATGTTGGACCCCATGTTTTACTCATATATTGTCTCATTTTGAAAAATAGAAAAATACAATAAGCACCTAATAAGCTTGAGACTCCTTTTAGTCTTGTACCAATATTCCAAAGATTTGGAATGGAATGGTTCCATTGTTTCATAAGTGGTATTATGAACTCTCCTATTCTTTCTTAGATACCTTGGGCAGTTAGGCCCAATTTGCAATCTTCACCAAGCAAAGCAAATAAGCTTTGGCCCATAGTTTGACAACCCAGGTTAGGAATAGTCTAATTGGCTAACGCTTTCTTTTGGATTTGTTTATGTTCTTACGGTTAAAAAACAAATTAATTAATTAACTATAAATCAATAGCTATAGAAATGGTCCTACTTTTCCATTAAAAATTTAAAATAATGTACATAATAAAAATGAACCAGCCAAAAGTTTAAATTACAGGGAACGAAAGGGATTTGTATACAATCAACCGCAAAGAGAGTGAGGGATAACTCAAGTGGTTATAGCTTCCCTCCCGCTCCTAAGAGATCTTGGGATCGATTCTCATCATCTGCCCTTGAGGCTCTCTAAACACCAAAAAAAAAAAAAAAATAATAATAATAATAATAATAATAATAAACAACCGCATAAAAAAAATTTAAAAAAAAAAATCATTGAAAAATTATGTTAATCCTTATTGGTCATTTGATTGATATGGACAAGATTAATGTCAATTTCATATATATTTTGTATAGGTATAATAAATTGTCATTGCATCATGCTTAAAAACACAAAACCTAAAATATACATGACCCATAAAATATATTTCAAATCTAGAATTTCCCAAGAACAATGATCCAACTCTAAAATGATCCCAATGCAAAGGCCAAAGTTCTAAGTGGTAGCTACTAGCTAGTACAAAACGATATAATAAAGAAAGTGCTAAGTTATAGGTGTTGAGTCCATTTAAGAACATTTGAGCATATATTATAATTTTATAAACTATATTATCCTAAGTAAGTGTAACGGTAAGCAATAATCTTGTAGACATTGTGGTCCAAGCTAGGTAAGATATTCAATCACTAATCTTACGTACATTTTCGCATATAAACATGCATATGATGCCAATTTTTTAACCACGGATTTTCTTCCTTCCAAGGTATGGAGTAGAATAGTGCAAGAATAATGTGGTATTAAGGATGGATTTTGGCCTCGTTAGAAGTTTCTTATTTTTGTTTTCTTTATTTGAAGCTTGAATATATAATCAATCAATCAATTAAAGCCTTAATCTCATAAATGGGTACCGAAAGTGATTATTTCGTGTAATCATCGACAAAAATCTTCCTCCTCCCACCCTTACAATCCAATGTCTCATCCTCATGCAAACCCATATGCTTCATATTCTTCCTAGCTCCTTCCAACCAAGTCATTTTCGGTCTCCCTCTCCCTCTTTTAACCCCTCTATGGTCTCACTCTTCCATTCTTCGTACCGGTGCACCCTCAGGTCTCCGTCTTACATGCCCAAACCAACGCAAGCGATTTTCCTTTAGTTTGTCTACAATGCCTTTTACACCTACTTTCTTGGAAATAACCTTATTTTTTATTCTTTGAAGCTCGAATATATAATACAAGTATGAATTATGAATTACAACCGCAAATTGAATAATGAATGTTGGAAAAAGGTATCATCTAGGAGCAAAGATAGTAAGGGTGGAAATTTCGTAGAATTCGATCTACAGAAACTTCTTTTTTTTCTTTTTTTTTTTTTTCTCTTTAATTTTAATTTAAGTTAGTTATCCCAATTTTTATCTGAACTCCTAAAACAGATGGAAAACACTTCTTTTATACTTATCACTTGTCAATTTTCTAACTAATATATATCTTATTCCTATCTTTCATACCAGTTGCCTTGTAAGATTGTGAAATCAAGTCTTGTAGCTGAGGTACGGTATACTGTTATTTGAGGTGGAAATTTAATTAATACAATTAGTTAATTACGAACCACTAATTTTCACATAAAACCTTAGTAAAATAGTAAGCCAAATATAAAATTTAGGTACACTTTTATGAAACTTTCTTAGCCATCCTAATTAATTTTTTGACATTATTAAGCATAATAAGTATTGGATTAATATTATATTGAGAAGTAAAAGCTTCAACAATAATATAATATGACGAATATGTTTCTGATGTCCAAAAGTATCAACGACCAAAAAAAATATCATTGACAATAAGCAATCTATAGCTTTTCTGCTTTTGAATTATTACATCCTAATAATACTAATAATCATCAATAATAATTCATCATACATGTATAATCTATCACTACGGTCTACGGAGTATAATGTACATACATCAAACCTAAAGTACGAAGCAAAACATTAAAAAATCAAAATAGAAAATGTTGAATTAATTTTATACTAGAAAATAATACTCCCTCCGTTTTTTTTAAATGCATCACTTTTCTGTTACGGATGTTTTTTTTTAAATATATTACTTTCTTATTTGGTAACTTTATACTATATTTTATCATTTATATCTCTTACTTTAAACCTCACTTAAACTATTTTATCATTTCTGTCTTCTTCATGGTCCTCACTTATATGATAAAAATATTTACTCTCCATCATATTCTTTCACTTTTATAGTCTCCATCTAACTTTTATTATAATAAATTATTCACCTACTCACAATATAATATTACTCTCCTAAAATTCCGCGTATCACCAAGTGATGCAAATAAAAAACAAAAAACGGAAAGTGTACTTTAAAACAAACGTATGAAATTTCATACTAGTACTATATTCCAATCC